AATCAAGGGGGGGATGGTCACAGCGAGAGCACCAACTATGATTACTGTTATACCCTCAACTACATGCCCTTAATGCCCGATATCCCCAGTGAGTTTTCCCAGCACAGAGCTCTGGCAGGTGGAAGTGAGGAGAAAGGAGACTGCAGTTCGAGCCAGATGTTCTGGCATCTTTGATGTGGCTTAAGCTGCTCTTGGAACTAAGCATTGCGTCTGAGCACGTGCAAGAAATGGTCCAAGAGGTCTTTTTGGTCAAGCATCCCCAAATCTTTGCCAGCAAATAATCCTTGGGCTTAATATAAGCTACCATAGCTCCAGCCACCAAACAACATTTTAAGTGGCGTGCAAGGAGTAAAAAGAAAACCTTCCAATTCATGAACATCAATTATATCTAGATGGTTGGCCAGGCAGAGGGTGGAGAGTCTGGAAGCTAGATTCTTGTTGCCTAAATGTGACCACGTCTGCACTTTACATTTTCTGAGATATATTAATTTCTTGATAATTTCTCTTAATTGCTAGCTCATCAAAGCCGATGTCAAGCGTCCTGTTCATCCTGTAAAGCAGTGGTTCTCAGCCTTGGCTTTTTCCCTGGGAACTCCTCAGGAATCTTTACAAAATACTGATCCCCAGGCAGCATTCTGGAACAGTTAAGCTGGAACGTCTGGAGATGGGATGGGTGTCAGGGGTGTGGAAAGCTCCTTGACTGATTTCAGTGGTCAGCCAGGGTGGCAAGCCACCGGGGGAGGAGGGCAGTGGAAAGGGGAAGCGAGGAGGTTAGATGAGATCTTCCACAAAGTTCAAGCTTGGAGGACTTTGCAGGATGCTGACCGACAGTCAGCGGGTTGTTAGCTGATGCCCGTTACTCCCTGATAACTCTCCAGAGGCTTAGTTTCCTCCAACTGTATATTAAGTTGCATTTTCAACTATTGGCCATTGTCTAAGCTTCTTAGCTGAAATTGACCAAAAGGTCTCATTGAGATCTTAAGAAAGTGAAGGGGAGACTGAGGCAGGAAACAACAGAGAGATATTCAAGTAGGCTTTATCTCAGGGGGCCCCAGAAGAACCTCTAATTCTAGCTGACTTGAGGCTGGTTGTTCTGGGGTTCTGGGGTCATGGTCTAGACATAAGATGGACTATAATATGGGTAGTTCCAATCAAGCAAGACATCTACGTAGTAGACTGACTCTGGGTTGACCCTCTCGCTTGGTCCCGGATCCCTCACCCCATGGGGAGGCTGCAGACAGAGGAGAGCCAGAGTAGACCCGCAAAAGCAGTGATTCTCGAGCTTAGGTGTGCACAGAATCACCCAAGGGGCTGTTAAAACACACATGACAGGGTCTCACTCAGCATGGCTAGGTCTGTAGTGGAGCCTGAGCATTTGCATTTCTAGTAAGTCCTAAGATACTGCTGATACTACTGCGGCCCACACTTTGAGAATCACTGCCTTAAACATGAGACCCTGGACAGACTAGGGTTGTCCTGGTCTGCAAGAGGTACACCAGACTTTAAAGAGTATTCCGTCACGCCCTGGAAGAAGGAATGGAATGTGGGTCTGCAATGAACTTGGCTTTATTTTCATGCACGTGTGAAAGGGTGAGAACCATCTGATTAAGTGATTGCCTCATGAGAACAGAGTTTTAAAATAGATAAGCCTTAGGGTTGCTTGTCCCTCATATCTTTGCATTAAAAATTGGTAATATTTAAATCAGATTTAATTTTAGAGTTCTAACCTTCACTAGCATAAGACTAAACACAATAACAGCAGCATCTGTGAAAATCATTTAGTGTTCAGTATTCTGGACAGGGTATTGTTCTCTCCAACAGCAAACTGTACCTACACTGGACAGGAGAAGGCCAAAGGCATAGGGGATGCTAGACAGGGTCTCAAATATAGCCCTCAGCCATCGAGCTTGGCAGGTGACCCTGGTGCACCAAGGTGGTTTGGCCTGGATGGCATCAGTAGTGTGAGGGATGTTTTTGTGGTGGGTCTATAGCAAACCCCCAGGAAGACAGATCTGCCTGGATGTTGTGGGATCTTTTAATTGAGATCAACCTTCGCTCTCCTCCTTATCATCTAAACTGGAGGCCATCCTGGCTTGTAATGGAATATCCAGAATATTTCCAGAAAAAGTCATTCTTACTTGCCTGGCTATTCCATAGAGGGAAAGTGGTTGCCTTTTATGTCACACAGGAAGTAATAGTCCGTGGGCAGGCCACTGCAGTGAGCTCTCCAAGCTCATAAGCACCTGCTACTATAAGTAGTATGGGTACAAGACCCATCACAGTTCCTTTCCCCAAGCCGTGTTGAACCTCTAGCCAGTTCTTGAACTCTGGGGGATCTGTGATGCCTTTCCTTCCTTTCTTCCCTGATGAACTTCTATTCATCCTTAAGAACCCTGCTCAGATGTTACACCCCCCCCCCCGCCATGAACCTATGTCTCTGGTTCATCTGGCCAGATGAAACTAGTTCCTCCTTCGATTAGGTTTCCATATCATGTCAAATATACATCATACTTATCACACTGTTCTTTGAAGGTGTGTTCATGTGTTTGTCTTTCTTCACCTCTAGGTTATTTGCTCTTGGAAGTTAAATATTATGTTATATTCTTCTTTGTGTCCTTAGCACCTAACATAGTGGCTGGCATAGGGCCTGCAAGTTTTACGGTTTAATTAATGAAAAAAAAAAAAAGAGAGAGACTCTTAATCTCACAAAACAAACTGAGGGTTGCGGGGTGGGGGTAGGGAGAGGGTGGTTGGGTTATGGACATTGGGGAGGGTATGTGCTATGGTGAGTGCTATGAAGTGAGTAAACCTGGTGATTCACAGACCTGTACCCCTGGGGCTAATAATACATTATGTATTATGTTATGTTATTATGTTATATATTATGTATATATTATAATACATTATGTATGTATGTTAATAAAACAAAAACAAAACCAAAATTAATGAAAAAAAATAATTCGAGTGTTTGGGTGGGAGAAAGCATTATTTAAGAATCCATTAGGGATACAGGCCAGAAAAGATGAATTGACATCATAGAATCACAGATGATCGGGGCAGGAGAATTTAGCTATCATCATAGTAGTTCCTTGTCTTCTGGAAGAGGAAGCTGGGAGATGCTTAACTGTGGGTTCCAGTCAAATGGTCAGCCAGTCTTGGCCAAATACCCGGATGAAGAATTCATGGACTGGATTCAGACTCTCTTTCCCAGGAGCCCACCTATTACCCCGGGGACATGCCATCCTCCTCCAGTGCTAAATCCAACCCCAAGAAAGCATGACGGTGTACTTCGCCACAGAGTCTAACATTTTTAAAGGGTGTTTAGGTAAATTTCCATCTCTAGACTTGAATGGCAATTGCCTATGGGAAGGTTTTTCTGGTGCTTCTGAGGCAAACAGGATATTTTGAGTAGAGTGAGTAAGGAAGAGGAATGGAAATATCCCAGTCCTTAATACCATGATTTCTAACAGGAGGAAAACCACTCCAGATGCTCTTTCTACCTCCCTGTCCTCTACCTCCTGTATGTGATTAGGAACTTGGTGGCTTCATTGACATTTGCTTCTGTAGTACAAGATGAGAGGGAGTTGAAGGGAGAAAAGTGGTGGGGGTCCATACTGGAAAAAACGTGATGTGGAAAGGGGTTTTGGAATTGGAGAGATATTATAAACAGGAAGGATACAGATGTCATTCTAGAATTTTTTTGGGAGGTGGGGACTCAATCCTTCATAAGTGCTACAATAGGCATAATAATTCATTCACTCATTCACTAAAAATGTTGTCATTCTCCAGCTCAAAGCCCTCCACTCCCTTCCCCTTCCCCTTAGGATAAAACCATCGTTCCAGCTATGTCTTTGCAGACCTAGTTCCTTTTACCTCCCCATTCATTTCTCCACATGTTCAGCAATTTTGATTTGTTTCTACCTCAGGGCCTTTGCACTTGCTGTTCCTTCTGCCTGGAAAGCTCTCTCCCTCATTCCTTTTCATTCTTCAGATCTCAACCTGAAGACCACTTCCTCCAAGAACTCTTCACTGAGCAACCTGTCTACAGGATCTCCTCACTACACCCTGCAGTCTGTTCATCATACCTTGTGTATTTCCTTCATGACATGTAAAGAATCAGAAGATATGTTTTTTATTTATGTAAGACTTTAAGCTCCATAAGAGATGAGACCCTGTCTGTCTTATTCACTGCTGGGTCCCCGGCACCCAGATCAGTGCTTAACAAATAGCAGGTGCTCAGGAAATATTGCTGAATGAATGAAGGAAACACATATATACAAGGTTTATAGAAGTGAGAGGAGAACAGAAAACTTCCATTGCTTCTAGGAACTACAACCTAAACTCGAATAGTATTTTTTTTTCCTCATGTATCATTTATATATCTTCTGATTGATAAAATTTGACTTTTGGCATGATTCTCTGAGAGGCACAACCCAATTCCGTAAGAGTTTTCTGTTCTCTATCCAGTGGTCAGATTATAGTATTTGCCACCATTACTCAGATGGATCTTTATCAGAGTACCAACTTGGTCTCAATTGTCAGGACTTTTTCTTCCATATAATTTATCTTAAGTTGGGCCATCCCAAGTTGGGTCTACTACATCTGTATGTGTGTAATGTACAGAATAATTTCTGGTTTGGTGCTGAGTCAGGGTCTGCTGGAGCAGGGCACTGGGGCGGGACAGGAAGCTCCTCACTGGAACCCATGGGCTGCATCCAGGCAGAAACCAAGCACTTTGGTACAAGAATGGGAGGCAGGGGCCAACGTAGGTCTGTGCAAGGTCACCCCTGGCAATTTCGGTAGCTAGACTCTAGGCCCTTCCCGGGTGCTGATGCCAGTAAAGACCCAAAACTCAGGAAATGGGGTTTGTCCTATTGGCATGTCCCTGCCTAGGACGTGTACCCTATTGTACCCTCCTGCCTAGGGTACAGCTATCCACCTGCTAGAGAATATGGTAAAGTGCCCATCTAATGCCAGCTCTCTCATCCCACAGAGTCCTGGCCCGTGGTCGTGCAGTCCAGGGGGCTGGATGGCATGCTGGACCCAAGCTCAGCTCAGTGTCCGGGCCCAATAACGGCTTTTCCAAGGGAGCAGCTTTCTGTCCTGGCCCCACCGAGGTAAGCACTTGAGGGGCTCCTGCCTCACCGAGGCTGCTGGCTCTGGAGCATCTGAGACAGCTGGACACGAGCCCCGGGCTGAAGAAGAGGAGTCACATCTAACTGTTAATCACCTGGGCTCTGGGATGGGCCTAGTGATCCAGCACATGTGGCCTTCATGCTCTCAGCTGGTCCCATACTTCCAGGGACAGGTTAAGAGTCTGAGCTGTCCACCTCTGTAGTAACAGAACCCTGGGCCTCCAACAGACAGAGAGCAGCGGTCAGACCCTCCACACAGCGCCTGGTCTGTCTGAATAGGCAGCCTTGTGAGATGAAGTATCCTTGATCACTTTCACGCCCTTGGCCATGGAGTAGAAGGTGGGGGAAGCTCCAGATCAGGGGACAGAGGCCAGCGCTGAGGTCCACTGCGGCTGGGTGTGTGCCCACTTCCAGGTACTTACTCTTACTACTTGTCTGTTTCCTCCTCTGTGCAACAGGAATCATAAGGCCTCCTCCCAGGTTTGTTGCAAAGGTTAATGAGGTACTTATGCCCAATAAAGGATAATGATGATAATTATGATCTCCCCTCATTCATTTTAAATGTGTGCCTAAGACTTCAGGCCAGTAGATCCTGTTCCCAGGAAAGCCGCAGGTGCCTGTACCTGCTAGTGCCTTCTGGCTGCATATTTCTATCATGGGCCCTCTAAGTGCTTTTGGACAAAATCGACCTGATGCCTAGAAACCTGATCAACCAAATAGGAAAATAACCGAATATCCAGGTGTTCCCCAGTGTCCGGATTTGTGGCACAAGGAAGGTAAAACTTACAGCCTGTTGAATGGAATTCTCATTTTGATGTTGGTGACCAACTCAGTGTAGCCATGGGTTCCAGTGCGTGTGTGGCCTCGGGGCTCTCTCCTCTGGAAGGTGCTGAGGCTGAGCGATGGGAAGCTCCCATACTTGGAGCCCGCCACTCACTAGCTGCAGAACCCCTAGGTCACTCAGACTCCCCAACACCCATGTGTCCCCTCTGTCAAGTTCAAGGATTGGACTAGATCGCTGATTCTCAAAACATAGTCCTCGGCCCAGCGGCGTCAGTATCACCTGGGAGCCTGTGAGAAGCGTCGAGTCTCGGGCCCCACCCTAGGCCTACTCGGTCAGAAACTCTGGGAGTGGGGTCCAGCAATCTGCAGTTTGGCAGACCTTCCAGGTAATTCTGACACCCTGAACCTCTGGACTTGATCATCTCTGATGTCCCTTCCGGTCCAAGCTTCCTCCCTGGGGAGAGGCCAGCAGAGGCGCTCACTGGGTTCTGTCCTGGCAATGCTGTTCTCTGCTGAGGCCTCAGGGGGACCTCCCTGGGGAGCTGAGGAGCGGCAGAAGGCCTCTCACATTCCACGCAGGTGCTGACAACTGGGGGTGTCCCCATCTTTACACTGAAGACAGCATCATGTTTACATGAGAGCAAGGCCAAGTGTACGTGGAAAAGGACCCTTGACCCACTCTCATAACATGGCGAGTAGAATGGAAGGGGAGGCTGGCTTTCCTCAGCCACAGGCACTTGGCCTCACTAGCACTAATGATCTCGGTTCACTGACCCAGTCTCTGGCCCAGAATCACTACTAGCTCTAGGCACACCCCTCTGAGGCAGGAATCCTCATACTCCCTGGACAGTGAACCACCACGGGTTCGGTCCCCAGGTGCTGTCAGCCCTCCGAGCTGCAAGGATGTGGGCCACCTGCTCAGCTGCGTCCAGCAGCTTCATCACCTCCCCATGTGCAGCCTGAATCAGTGTGAAGATCACTCTCCAGGTGCAGGAAATTTCTGTCATCACTGGAGCATAGGAACCATGGAAACCCCCAGAATGTATCCCTGGTCCGAGAGGGCACAAAAGTTGGGGAGCCCTGAATAAAAGGCACCCCTCCAACACACATACACATACACACTCTCTTAATCATATGTCCTCCATTCAGGCTAGGAGCAGGACAAATACAGAACATTTAGCTGTGACACAAAACATATTCCCCCATGTGAGCGCCTAATGGCATCATCCCCTGCTGATAATTCAGCTGATAGGGCTCTGCTTCGTGAAGCCTCGATGAGGACAGCCTGTCGTGTCATCAGGAGAAAGAATTCAAGGGTTGTTCTTTTTTTTTTTTTAAAGATTTTATTTATTTATTTGACAGAGATCACAAGTAGGCAGAGAGGCAGAGAGAAAGAGGAGGAAGCAGGCTCCCTGTCGAGCAGAGAGCCCGAAGCGGGGCTTGATCCCAGGACCCTGAGATCATGACCTGAGCCGAAGGCAGAGGCTTAACTCACTGAGCCACCCAGGCGCCCCTCGAGGGTTGTTCTTAAAAAGAAAGAAAGAAAAGTCACTCCGTGGTTTTACGTCAACCAAGGAGAGAATGTTCTTTTGTAAACTGCGCTTTGTTCATCGTATCACTGGACTAGAAATCACACTCATTTTTTTTCTTTTCTTTAGTTCTCCGCTGATGATTTTTAAAAAGAAACACTTAATTTAAAAAGAAATAGCTGAAGGGGATTAAAGAGGACACTTACCATGATGATCCCTCAGTAATGGTTAGAGTTGTTGAATCACCGTGTTATACACCTGAAACTCCTATAACACTGTTAACTTTACTGAAACTAAAATAAAAAGCTTAATGAAAATGAATAAGTAAAAATATTTGATATTGTCCCTGCCTTATGAGAAAATGTCAGACATGGCAATATTCTCACTTGAAAAAAAAAACAACACGCCAAGAAGTATATTTTAAATATAAAAACTAAAGTTTTAAAAAAGACTATGGGGCATGCTATTAGGGGTGAGTCAATTAAAAACTTTAATGAGAGAACATTTCCAACATTTTCAAAAATCTTAACGAAGCAGTCTGTGCCTGATGCAACCCTCCCCCGTGATGAAATGCCGTCCACTACCATGTGTTATCCCACTACCATGTGTTATCGTGACAGTGAACTGGAAGTTACCGTCAACATTAAGAATTCAGTAGCACCTGCAGTGCTGGGCAGAGGAGTAACCTGTATGGCTGCTGAAACTCGAAGCATGTCCGAGCTGGAAGATTCCTCAAGAGTCTGCGGTCGCGTGGAGAAGTAAAGGAGCACAGAAGCAAGGGGCGCGTCCACACCCTCCCTGACTCTTAGAGCGGGAGTCACCTGTGAACACTAGGTCACCTGGACACAACGAAGAGGGGGAGGGTGCTTTTCTGCCTCCAGGGAGTTTGCCTGGGGGTGGGAGGAGATGAGAACACAACGGCCCTAAGGCAGGACTAAGGAAATGCTCTACAGAGGTGGAGAAGGGAGAGAGTTTGTCTCTGTGGAAATAGAAAAAGCACCCCCCCCCCCAGCCCAGTGGAGGTGGTATTTGAGTTGGGTGCTAAAAGGTGATGCGAACAACTCCAACCAACAGAGGTGGGGAGCAGAAAAGGCACAGGGAGGGCGAGGGGGAGCATTCCTGGTCAAGAAGATGCTGAACTGAGAGGACAGCTTCTCACCACTGGACCCTCTGGGCAGGGCCAGGTGATCAGAGCGGGGCTTCAAGAGGTTAAATGGGGTGGCTAGGAACAGTAGGTACTGAAAGAAGAGAGATGAGGGTCCAGGACATCAGTTGGGAGATGGCTCTGTGACCTGAACCAGGAACAGGAGGTGAGAATGGAAACTACAATTTCAAGAGGTGCTCCCGGAACAGAACGCAAAGGGCTGGGGGGAGGGCCAGGAGGAAGGAATAGAGGCCGGGGTTGAGCTGAGGTTTGGAGCTGGTGGACAAAGGGAGGGTGGTTCCAGGGCCAGAATAAAGGAAAAGGTTGGAGAAACTCATTTAGGAGGGGAGTGTGGGGAGATGTTCACAAGAGACAGCCGCTGGGGAACTACACCATAACTACACCATAAACCATCAAGTGGTCCAAAACAGGGCTGCTGAGGGAAGGCGGGACTGATCATCCTGATGAGGAGTAGCAGTGTGAAGATTTTTGCTTGGGATGCCTTGCATTTAAAATGTCAGTATCCGGGAGAGTCCCTGGAGGTTCAGAACTGGCTTTTGAAAGAGCAGTGGGGCTAGAGATCCCAGTCCGGGCATCAATCCCACAGAAGTCTCAGCCACCTCCTTAGAAGAGGATGAGCTTACCAAGGGGAGACTGGAGGAGGAGGTGGGAACCCCTGGTCATGGGAAATAGGGAGCAGTACGTCCCCTATTACCATCAAAACCCTAAAGTTTCGTGGTTTTCTTTTTCCATTTCCCCATCCAAATTCTAAGTGTTACTAATTTGGATATAAATGGATGAATTTTCGGTTTCATTTCTTCTCCCTTCTTCTATCTGATGAGAGATACCATGTATTGAGAAGAAAGAAAGGGAGCAAAAGGGGGGCTTGACTTAGCTGCCAGCCAACTGAATGCTCGGTTCTGTGGCAGTTGGTTGGACAGTTTATATGCCACACCATTAGCCAGCAGAACCAGCAGTGGGCAAAAGCCCAGATGTGCATAGCTGGCTGGAGGACTGGAGTAAACACCAGTGTTTTTTCAAAGTAACCCAAGAGAAAAGAATTTGGTGGTTTTATTCTTGGTATTTCACCAAAGAGTGGCCTATCTCCAGTGAGGATGCAAGGGGGAGACACAGTATTGAAGAGAAGAATGCATCACTTTGAAACAGATTAGAAATGCACCCTGCAGCCATAGCCACAAAATCCAAGAGAAGGCACCTACCACAGTGAAAAGAAGGCAGGCAGTGAGCTTCTCGGGCCGTCCCCGTTCACTCCTTCATTCGTTCGCCTTACATTTTTTGAGGACCTACCATGTGCCAGCACTGTACATGGCTCCAGAAATATTTAACTTTAAATGGCACCGCTTCTAAAGTACTCTCAGGAGACAGACAATGTACGTGATTATCCATGGCACTAGGAAAGGTGATAGGGTTAGGGTAGCCACCATAGTAGACAGGAGAGGGGCTCACCGAGGAAGGACTGACTAGGGCAGGTGGATGAGACACGGCTCTGCGCTCCATGACCTTGCAGTCAGTGGGGAGACAGGCTGAAATCTTACAGGAGTAAGCTCAGAGAGCAAACAAGCAGCAGTGTGACTGAAGAAGACGAAGTCCTTGGCCACAGGACACTGGAATGACTCAGAAGTAAGGAGCTGTGTGCGCACCTTTCAATCCCAGCAGCATCCCTGTGAAATAGTTGTTATTGCCTGCTTTTTACCAATGAGGAAACTAAGGCTCAGAAAGATTAAGCGACTTCCCTCTGCTTGCAAGTAGCCAAGATGGGAATCTGAACAAAGTTTTCTAACTCCAAATCCAATGCAGAATGGCCTGTGGGGGTGGGGATGGGAAAGGGGAAGGGATGGAATAGGAAGTTTGGGCCCCCTCTCTAGGGGATGCCACTAACCCTCCCAAGATTTAGAGATGCTTCACAGAGGAGGTGACATTTGATATCCATCCACAGGTGTGACTGGGACCTCCATAGTCAGCTGCCCTGGGGGGGTGGTCACAGGTGGGCAACTCTGGTATAGCGTGGAGCCTGTCTGGGCTTACTTGCGCTGCCTCTTGGGGACAGATGGATTTCTGCCATTTGCTGTATACTCACATAGGAGTAAATAATAAAAGGAAAAGGCGTGTTTAAGAATGAAAGACAAGGGTTCCTGGCTCAGTCAGTTGGGCGTCTGCCCTCTGCTCAGGTCATGATCCTGAAGTCATGAGATCGAGTCCCAAGTCAGGCTCTCTGTCCCTCCCCCTACTCGTGCGCTCACTCTTGCTCTCTCTTTCTCTCTCCCTCAAATGAATAAATAAAACATTTTTGAAAGAAAAAGGATGAAAGACAAAGTAGGGGGGAAGGAAGGGTAGAAGGATTTCAGAAGGGGTCAGCTTTGGATTCTGTTCCTAGTTATGCTGATGACTTTAGGCCTGTTGGTTAATTTTCTGTGGATCACTTTCCGTGTATATGAAAGAAAGACGATAAATCCTAAGTCAAGACTAATGAGAAATTAGAAATGAATGCACTTGAAAAGTTTTAAAATGTCACACGACAAGGAGCTATATCAGGTTTGGTATCTCTACGTGCTGGCTAGTGGCTGACTAGCCGGGCAATGCTGGTCCCAGAGCTCTGTACTTTTTTGCCAGACATGATGTTTCATGGATTTGCAACAAGGGTTCCCCATCACCAGATCTCAGAGCTGACCAGTGCTGCTGTCTGAAGAGGGTGGATTCAGGGCTGGGGCTTCAAGACAAGTCCTGGGAAACCCTTCCCACTGCCTTCCCAGAGGAGTCAAGTCGTGGGGCTCAACACAGTGCTAAGGACAGGTGTCAGACACACACGGACACCTCCAGCTGGCAGACGCAGTACTCAGGGACCCTGTACATGGTGCTGCCAAGTTCACACGGTGCCACAGGGTGGAATTTGGGGGCTCTGTCCCTTCCTGAAAAAGCCCAGCCCCTCGATGGTGTGACCATATCTCCAGGTCACTTGAGCCAGCCCTGTTTATACCTGTCGTCCTCTGTCATTGTGGCAAGCAGCCCCTCTCACCCTCCAAAGACTCTCGGTTTGAACGGTAAATTCCAGAGTCACCTTGCCCTTGGACTCCCGGGTGAGACAGCTCTTTGGGATCCTCTCGGGAGGTCAAGACCCGGAAACTGCCTTTGTACAGAACTCCGTGCCCCGTGGACTTATCCCCGTTTCTGTCTCCTTCCAGGTGCACAGCGTAATGTCCATGTTGTTCTACACTCTGATCACAGCTCTTTTGATCGGCACCCAGGCAGAAGCCCACCCCGAGAGCCATGTCCCAGCAGGACACGCCATCCCCCAAGCCCACTGGACTAAGCTTCAGCATTCCCTTGACACAGCCCTCCGCCGAGCCCGCAGCACCCCGGCGGGGGCAATAGCTGCGAGGGTGGCCGGGCAGACCCGCAACATCACTGTGGACCCCAAACTCTTTAAAAAGCGGAGACTGCGCTCACCCCGCGTGCTATTCAGCACGCACCCCCCACCTGTGGCCGCAGATACTCAGGATCTGGACTTGGAGGCCGGCGGAGCCGCCTTGGCCAACAGGACTCGCAGGAGCAAGCGGTCGTCGTCCCACCCTGTCTTCCACCGGGGCGAGTTCTCGGTGTGCGACAGCGTCAGCGTGTGGGTGGGGGACAAGACCACCGCCACGGACATCAAGGGCAAGGAGGTGATGGTCTTGGGGGAGGTGAACATTAACAATAGTGTGTTCAAACAGTACTTTTTTGAGACCAAGTGCCGGGACCCCACGCCCGTGGACAGCGGGTGCAGGGGCATCGACTCCAAGCACTGGAACTCGTATTGTACCACGACCCACACCTTCGTCAAGGCGCTGACCATGGACGGCAAGCAGGCTGCCTGGCGGTTTATCCGGATTGACACGGCCTGCGTGTGCGTGCTCAGCAGGAAGGCTGGGAGAAGAGCCTGACCTGCAGGACAGCCCCCACCCTCCCCAAGCTCCCCCTCCACACCCTCCTGGGCCCCTCCCTACCTCAACCTGTAAATTATTTTAAATTATAAGGACTGCATGGTAATTTATAGTTTATACAGTTTTAAAAAATCATTATTTATTAAATTTTTGGAAGCATCCCATGTGCCGGCACTCCAGTCATTTTCCCCAAGTGTGACCCTCTGCAAGTCTGGGGACATTGTGGGGTGAATTACCCCTGGCACCCCTGGCTGTCATCCTCCCCCCCACCCAGTCAGCTCTGCAAACTTCAGGGCAAAGCTGACTGGGTTCACAGATTCCCCTAAGCCGGACATAATTAGAAAGGGACGTCTGCTGGATTGCAACTCTGCTCAGCATTCCAGAGCCAAAGCTACCTAATCCTTGGATTACCTGGCCCACTGCCCCTGTGCGTGAGCCTCGTGAGCCTCGGGGAGGTTTGGGGAGCCTCGGCAGAAGCAGGTCCACCGCTTCAGAGTCCTGAAGGGACTCGCCTTACAGTAGGAACAGTCTTGCATCAAAGACCTATGAGTCTGGCTTGTTTTGGGGTGGGGGGAGAGATCTGCTTTTGGCTGAAATGCTGTCTGGAAGAATGGTAATGAAATAATCTCATGAGAGCTGTCATGGTAGATCTTATTTCATGTTAAGATTGCCTTAGGACTAATGGCGGGCCCTGCACTTATCCTCCAGAGGCTTCCTGCAGAAAGAGATCATTACCGGAGAACACATAAGGGCCTCCAGCACTCTTGCCACCCACTGACGGCCCCACAGCGCTTCCAATGGCCCCAGTGTTGGCCCATGATCACGGGGCCAAGAACTTCCCAGAAAGAACTAATTGGGTGACTTCTGTAAGTGACTGAAGGTGGGGAGGGGTCAGGAAACTGGGAGAGTAGATGGTGGTAGAGGGGAAAAGAGGTAAACACAGTGAGAACCCACACAAAACTCGGGGAGGTGCAGAGGAAAGGTGGGCCAAGCCAGAAGGGAACAAAGACTTCCTGCTGCTCCCTGACAGGGGACAGTGAACAGGAGAGGGGAGAGGAGAGGCTGGTGAGGAGGGGGCCACAGGGCAGAAAGTGGAGAAAAGTGTATCGTGTTGACCAGCATCAGTATCCTGGGCCTCCAAAAACTCCAACACCCTGAGCAATTGTGTTTTGGGGGGTTATGCTCATCAACACTGACTACTTCAAGAGGTCTTGGCCAGGGGTAGGGGTGACAGAGTGACTCCAGGTGACAGCCTGGAGCAGGGCTCCACCCATCCTTCAGCTGCCACCTTCCCCTGTAACTTCCTTATTTTTTTCCTGAAGGCGAATTCTTTCCCCCAGAGGAACACTTACACTGAAATGGAATTTCTGCTTTCCTAGCCATCCCTTCCTGGCCAGGGTGAAAGGCCTACTCTAGTTTTTAGATCCAAATGGTCCCTCTGATTTAAAAAAAAAGAAAAAAGGTCATATCCATTTCTCTGTAACACTGTCTGTCCCTCCCGCCCCCAACCCAATCCAAATAGGGCCAAATTAGAAATGTAGAGAGCTCTGGCAAGAGAGGCATTTGATTAGGGTGAAAGCATGATGAAAATGCACCCTATTTTTCCTGTCAAAGCTACTGCAATTGGAATAAAGATTTATGCTCAAGAAACACCAACCAGAATATTGCGTGCCGAGATACTTGGTGAGATAAAGGCTGGGAGAGGGAGCCCTTCCACTGGCCTGTGCCTGTGGCTTTTTCCCTGGGCTCCAGGGCCCGAGGCTTCGGCCCTCCAGCTCCACCTGCAGACCGTTCCTGGGTGGCCGTCCTCCTTGGGCTGGCAGGCCTGCGGGGTCCTGGCCGTGGCGAGGGCAGGCAGTGAGGGAGGCATTTCGCCAGCTCCCAGCCCCAAAACTCCATTTATGAGCGGCTACACCAGCATGAAGAGTCTGGGGAGCTTGTCCCGGCGCTGTAGGCCGCTGGGACGCCAACAATGTATATTCCGGACTCTCCTGGCCTGCCTGAGGGAAGGTAGCCTCCAAGCCTCTGAGGAAGGACGGAGGCCGAGCCTCAGGTAAGAGGAGGTCCCCTTCACCCCACCCATGCCAAGGCCTTCCCCAAAGGCAGCAAAGCTCGAGGCCCAGCTCCCGAGTCGCCGTGTGGGAGGCAGTGTTTTCACACCCCGCACCGGGTTATCAGTTTGGCCCAGGAGAGTCGGGGAGGTCCAAAAACAACCCCAAACCCGGAGGTTGTGCAGCTTGGACTCTGCGCCCACACTCAGGGGAGCTCTGGCTTCCAGACCCACCCCAGCTGCCTCTAAGAGGCGGGCCCAGGTCATCGGGGCGCCAGACACTTGAACCCATTGAAACAACAGCTCGCAACCACCCATTATGTCCCACAGAGGGGCGGCTGCTGAGGATCCCACTGGCCCTTCCTTTGCTCACCACGCGAGATTTCCTGCCCAGTTCCCCCAAAGCCTGGAGAGTTGAGCTGATATCCTCCCCTCTGCAGCTTCCTCGGCCGGAAGGCCTACCTCTAGCATGCCAAAGAAAACTAGAGGGAGCCCCAGGCTCGTCCTCAGCCGGACACAGCCCAGCCCTCCTAGCAAAGCAAAACTCCTGGTTCTGGGAGATGAGAGCAGTACGGTGCCTGACTCTGGTTTATATTCCCAGTCTGTCCCTCTGACCTCCTGTCCCCCAGCCAGGGCACTAGTGGCCCCTAGATCTGCTTCCACCACTAGCAAAACACCTACCACAGAGAGAAGGGTTTTCAGCAGCCAACGAAACAGCTGGTTGCATCCCCATGAGGTGTGGGAATGTTCTCCTTCGAAGTCTCACCACTTTCTCTTCTGTCTAATCTGCATTCTGGGAGAAGAGTCCACCCCAGACCTGGAGGACAGAGGACACGGGCGCAGCCCCTCATGGACCACGTGTTCTCTGCTCCTTAGACAAAAGGGGACATTAGGAATGGGGGTGCAGAAATGAGTGCAAGTGTGGGCTATGAAGATCACAGGGGCCCAACTCAGGCTTTCTTCCACGGGCCTGAATTGAAGAGTGAGCGCCCCCAGGCCCCTGGTGATGAGGAAACAGCTGGGTGTGATGCCACAGACAAGGGACTCGGTGTCAGCAGAGCTACATTCTAGGCCCTGCTCCCCCATTCCTATCTGTGAGCCTTGGCAAGCCACAGCCCCTCTTTGGCCTCAGATCCTGCAGCCGTGAGATGAAAATAATCATTCCTAACTCCCAGAGTTGTGACCGTGAAGGCAAACCACATATCTGAAAGTAAACAGCCACATCCTATGCAAGTGTAAGGCAGAGTAACTTATCCTCAACAGAACAATTCCTGTGCTGATTGTAGGGCAGTAACCACTGTGCTGGTAATTGGGAACCATTGGTTTATGGGCTGAGATATCAATCCAGTAAAGGAAACTTTCTGATCAGTGGCGTCATGGAATATGAATGTGGGTATGGCATAGTCAGGCCCAGAAGGTCAAGAGCAAGGGTGTGGGCTCTGGGGTCAGACAAGCCAGGTACTTCTACTTAGGCTGTGGGACCTCAGGCAAGTTGCTTCACTTCTCTGGGTTTCCATTTCTTCATCCATGAAATGGAGAAAATAGCAGCAGTCTTCTCAGAGGGCCTAGAGATGATTCTAGGAGACAACGTGTAAATATACATAAGCACCTGGCACTTCGAAGCACGTAATAAATGTTAGTTTTGAAAAGCCGAGTTGGCCACGAAACCCTAAAAGGATGTTAGGACAGGGTGGAACGGCTTTCAGCAAGGCAAGGAGGCTCACAGCTTCATGGATGCCTCAGAGATTCATTCTGCGACAGGCAGTAATGATAGGGACTGTTAGCAGTCACCAAGAGCTTGCCATGCACAGGCTCGTGCATGTGGCTAAGCTCTGAGCAAGCCCCCGGCTTCTAAAACCAAGGCCACCTTAAGGAGAGCGCTGGAAGTCCAGGCTCTCTGTTTGCATGCATCACTGCCAGACTACGCCTCCACGGACATGTTTACTCCTCCAGCATTTGGCAAGTTTATAAACCATTGGCTCTGAGCATTTCCACGTGTCAAGCACGTGGGATCGGTTTCATTCCAGTTCACTTGGGTCTGCAACAACAACAAAAAGCCGTGACCTCGCCAGCATTCACCTGGGTTTGTGGAGGTGGTTCGGGAGGGCCAGGGCCAAGATTAAATTCCTGCAGCAGAAGCCAGAAGAGAATCCCTCCAACCCGGGGCTGCTCCTTAATATCCAGGATGCATTCCATCTGTGTTCCCCTTGGCATCCGGCCCGATGCGTGTGACAGGCGCTCAATCAGTGCCTTAGGGCAGGTAAGTCGGAATTCAACTCCCATCTTCTTCTCCACCCCCCAGCCACCCCCCGCCCTGTATGTGCCTACTCTGTGTCAGGAATAAATGGGTTAACGGGTTAAAGACAAAGTCCTTCCTGAGGCTACGTAGGGGTCATCTGAGAAGCTTTCTGAGGATGGTGCCATGGTGACAAGCATATTCAGTCTGCCACGGTCGAATCCTGGCCTCACTGCCAGCTTGGCTGAGTGGTATTAGACAAATTACCTTATTTCTCTGCACTTCAGTTTTCTTATATGGAAAATGTGGATGATAATAATAGAACCTATCTTGTTGAGTAGTAAGGCACTCAGTCCAGTGCTTGGTACATTGTAGATTATTGTATATAAAACATATGTAAATATGCACATGCCTCTCTCTCTCTCTCTCTCTCTCTCTCTATATATATATATATATATATACACACACACATATATATATGTATATAAGTCCACATAGAGACACAACACACAAATACATACACACACACACACACACACACACACACAGAGCCCCCACGAGCTAAGAAGCAGCCAGGAAATGTAGCTCCTACACCTACATGCACCCACACACTGACTTAAAAACACAGTCGATTGAGCGTCTGCCTCTGGTTCGGGTCATGAGCCCAAAATCCTGGGATCGGGTCCCACGCTGGGCTCCCTGCTAGGTGGGGAGTCTGCTTCACCCTCTACTCTTCCCTCCTGCTCTTGATCTCTCTCTCG